GTTCAGCATGTAACTGACATCTCTCAGTGCAGCCAGGTTCTGGTTTTCGTCCGTTATATGCATGCTGATGCCATCAAAGAAGAATTCCTATTTTGTGAGCCCCTTTTGGAACTACAAAGGCCATCGACATCTTAGAAATGGTGAATAGTTTCTTTGCCAAGCAAAACTTCGACTGGAAGAAAAATCTTTGTACTCTGTGCACAGACGGAGAACCTGCGATGCTTGGCAACACATCTGGTTTTGCTGCTTTGGTGAAAAAAGAAGCTCCTCAGGTCATTGTTTTCTACATCGGCATGCATTGGCGTCAAAGTCTCAGCCAGCAATTCTGAAAGAAGTCTTGTCTACTGGCGTGAAAGTCGTCAACTTCATCAGAGCTAGGTTTTGTCAAGAAATGGGAGCAGAATATGAAGTTCTTCTTTACCACACAGAAGTTCGCTGGCTTTCCAGAGGACAAATCTTGAAGCGCTTGATTGAACTTCGAGCAGAAGTTTCACTTTTTTTGAGAGAAAAAGAAAGCCCACTCTCAGAACAGTTTGACAGTGAGGAGTTCATTCATGGCTTGGCCTACTTGCTGGATATTTTTGGCCATATGAATGAGGTGAATCTTACGATTCAAGACCCTGGAGTCACCATTATGGATGCTGCTGAAAGACTGCAAGCTTTTCTGATCAAGCTGCCACTGTGGAAGAGGAGGTTGGAGGCAGACAACTATGCAAACTTTCCAAAGTTAGAGGAAGTGCTTCTGCAGGATGGAACCGAGTGAGACAAGGCCCTGTCAATTTCTCTGCAGACATCTGGATACTCAGCAGAACTCTTTCAAAGGTTACTTCTTCTCAGGTGACCTTAAAGTTGAAACATGGATTCGTAATCCTTTCCTTGCCGACATAGACTGTATCAGTGATGAAGACCTTGCCAAAGATGACCTCATTGACCTGAAGACAAAGGAAATGTTACGAAATGAATTCAACTCAAAGAGCCTTGGAGAATTCTGGTGTGCGTTGACACAAGCCTACCCTCGTCTGGTAAAGCGAGCTATGGGTGCTCTGATTCTGTTTGCTACTACATACCTTTGTGAGTCAGGGTTTTCAGCACTTGTTTCTATCAAAACGAAAAGTCGAATTCGATTGGATGTCAAAGATGAGATGCGTGTTACCTTGTCAAAGACCACTCTACAGTTTCATCTTCTTCTTATTCAAGCCAAACAACAACAACCTTCTCATTGAAATGAACTTTTGAGCAGAATTAAAGTTTTGCTTTGTTTAATTTGCACAAGATGATTGTATGTCATTCTTGTATGGAGTGGCCATTAATTTTTGCATAAAAAAGTGTGAAACATAATTGTTAAGATTGTTTACTTTATTCATACTTTGTGTATGTCATACACTGTATGAGGCAATTAATTTTCAATAAAATAAAGTATATTCATTGCATGCAAAGTTGTGTTTATGTGCTTATGTGCATTTTTCTGGGGGGGGTCCATAGCTTTCACCAGATTCTCAAAGGGGTCCGTGACTCATAAAAGGTTAAGAACCACTGATGTAGGGGGTTGGGAAAACAGGTGGACTTCTTCCATATGGGCTTACAAGACAATCAAAGGGGGCCTCACATGGACTTGGTCGAGGAGCCCTCCCCTAGTGTTACCAAAAAGGGGTCAAAAACCAACCCCCTTACTCACAGAATTTGTAATTCAACTGTTAAACAGAGGTGTGATAGAACTGTTGCAGTCAGAGAAATATTTCAAGTCTCGCCTATTCCCAGTCCCCAAGAACGGCAGCGACAAATTGAGGTGGATTTTAGATCTTTCCGTCCTGAACAAGTTCATTACCAAAACAAGTTTCAAGATGCCCACTTAGGATCATTAAAGGCATCTATTTCCACCCAACGATTGGATCTCAAAAGTGGATCTCGAAGATGCCCATTATCAAGTGCCTGTTGCTCCCAGGTACAGAAAGTGTCTAGTGTTCGCAGTGGGGGATGTAAGTTATCAATTCACAGTGATGCCATTTGGCCTGACAACTGCGCCAAAAGTGTTTAAAAAACTGGCAAACATCCCCAGAGAGATCCTTGCGAAGGGGGGCATAAGAACTTTTACTTATCTAGATTATTGGCTGATACTCGGAAATTCTTTCGAAGATTGTCAAAGGGCGACCCAATGTACACTAGAACTATTTCAAAACCTACGATTAAAGGTAAACGAGGTCAAATAAAATCTCATACCACGTCAGAAATTGGATTGGTTAGGTCTCCATTGAGACACCAATCAGCAGTCAGTCAGTCTACCAGAAGCAAAAGTAACAGATGTGATACACCAAGTAGAAGCCTTTTGTGTAAAGCACAAGGTTTCTTGGCACGATTGGGGAAAACTACTGGGTCTGTTGAATTTTGCCACAATAGCAGTTCCTTTGGGCAAGTTAAGGAAGAAGCAACTAACTCATCTGGGATCGAAGTTGCTCTACAGAAACAGAATATTGCTTCTTCTCTCCCAATTCAGATCAAGAATCATCTGTCATGGTGGACAAATTTGGACAATCTAATCGGTTCCTCTCCCTTGGTTCCGCCTCAAACAGATTTGGTCGTTTGTACGGATGCATCCGAAAAAGGATGGGGATACCATTCCTCAAAAGGGAATTCAATCAAGGGAACTGGAGCAACTCCCTTTGGGACAAACACATAAACATAAATGAATTAGCAGTGGTCCTATTCTTTTTGTTGGCAAACCCAAATTTAAAATACTTGACGATTCTGTTTGCCATGGACAACAGAATGGCAGTGTTTTGTTTCAATCATCAAGGCTCAACCAGATATTTGGCTTCTTCTAAAACTGTCAGAAATTTTTTTCAAAGTTTGTGTAACACAAACACTTTATCTCAAAGCAACTCACATACCGGGAGTACAAAACAATTGGGCAGATGCGCTGTCCCGTCTCAGGCCAGTATTGACAGAAACAGAATGGTCCCTAACGATATCGAAGTTCAAAAGTCTAGTGAGGAGGCTTGGGACTCCACTCTTTGCCTCACAAAACAATCACAAGATGCCAACTTATACATCCCTGGAACGATCAAATCTTTTAGGAAATGCTCTACTCATAGATTGGAACCGCTGGAATTCAATCTATCTGTTCCCACCTGTGAAAATGTTGCCCAAAGTGGTTCACAAACTCATATCCTTCCAAGGAAAGGTCCTCTTAATTGTACCATATTGGATCCTACAACCGCGATGTCTCGATCTGTTGGAATGGTGCCCGCATCCACTACAATTGCAACAAGGATGTCTAGACCAGGTACTGCACCCTCAGTTCGAGATATCCTTGGCACTTCATGCTGGAGTTTCTCAAAACATGTTTAGATAGATTGTTGGGTAATTTTGATATAGTTAACCAAGTGATAGCAGGTCATAGTCCCCAAACTTCTATGCAATATCAGAAAGCTTGGAAACTTTTTCAACAATTTATCAGGTTAACGACTCCAATCACATTATCAGAAACAATGGTGTTAGAATTTTTAGAATTTCTGTTCAGAGTTAAAGGCCTTCAAGGATCGACAATTGCATCTTATAATTCAGCAATGGTTGACCCTCTGGCATGGGGTTTTAATATTACTTTGAACCCAAGAATTTATCAAATGCTCAGATCATCCTTTTTCATTCAGAGACCTCCTCGGCCTAAGAGAATCCCAAGTTGGTCTCTATATAAATCTACTAAATTTCTTATGGGGCCTAATTACAATATAAATCTGAACCGGGACAGATTGCTCCAGAAGGCAGCCTTCCTTCTAGCAATAGGAAAAGGTATGAGAATCAGTGAGCTGATTTCAATTTCCAATGATCCATCATTATTGGTATTTTCTGAGGAAGATGTCACCCTTTTTCCTACAGAGATCCTAAGAAAAAATGAAAGGGAGGATTTTCAAGCTCAACCTATCAGGATAAAACGGCTAATGGAGGAGACAACGGTTCCTCATATATTGTGCCCAGTCAAGAATCTTCAAGAATGGTTAACCAGATTCCCTAATCGAGGCCCCTGTGTATTCTCATCCTGGGATGGTAAGAAATTGTCTCCTAGTCAAATGACAAAATATTTATCTCAGTTAGTGAGTCAAGCAGACCCTGGCAAGAAATTTTTGGCACATGACACCAGGAAATATGTGGCCTTTCTGCGGCATATGAGCCTCAGTCAGATCAAAGAAGTGGGCTTTTGGAGATCTTCAAAAACCTTTCAAAACAGCTATCTTCATCTATCTCTGAAAGATGTTTCACATGTGGTGGTGCTGGGGTCCCCTCCCCCACCTAGTCAATCTCCACAACCAGGACCTTCTTCCTCATCAGAGTAAATTGAGTATCCTAATTGGGATATGTAAATTAACATTTTACCTTCCGGTAAATGTTCCTAATATTGGAAAATATTCCAATAAGTTTATAATTATAATCTGGACCTAAGCTAGCGGAGCCTTATACGCAATGTCACCTCCCTCTCCACCTCCTGCTCGGGTAATCAAAGCTAGACGTCGCAATCTGGATTGAACAAAAAGCCATTTTTTTCTATAAACCAGTTTTTGTGATATACTGTAGTCCAGAATGTGATGTCGACATCCCACCCATATCCACCCCTTGAGAGTTGACATTTGTTTACGGCTCGCTCTAGGGCAAGAGATGACGGTGGCAGTGTGTGTGATGGAGGGTGCGGGAGGGGGTTTTGAGAATTGCAATTAAATGCCAGGTAGCGATGTGTCCTCTTAATATTACGTATTTAAGTAATTATTAGATGTTTTAATTGCCTGTATGTTGGCCTGGTGAGTTAATGCTAGGCATTTACATAAATGCCAGGTAGCTATGTGTCCTCTAATATTACGATAGTAATTATTAGATGTTTTAATTGCCTGTATGTTGGCTCGGTGAGTTAATGTAGGCATTATACACCCGTAAGCTGGATGTCTCATTCTGGACTATATCAGAAAAATTGGTTTATAGAAAAAAATGGCTAAAAAAAAAAAAGAACATCTCACCTGAATACCAAGAGGTAAGCCATTTGACCCCAAACCAAGAGGGCACTGTGTTGATGGAAAGAGTAGCACATTGATGATGGCTGTGTATATGAAGTTAAAGGCCCTGAAGAGTGGCTGACCGTGGTATGGTGCTGTGGTTGGATGACTTGGGAATAACAACACTCCATCTTCACCAAGAAGTTCCTGAAAAGATTAAGAGTTAACATATAATTTAAAATTAACAACTTAAAGCTTTTAATTTTCCATTAAAAGCGTTCAAATAAGACCTCATCTTCCAAACAAAACAATTACAGTGATCCCTCGGTTAACGAACGCCCCGGTTAACGAAATTTCGGTCAACGAATTACCTTCCATAATAATATTCAATTCGGTTAGCGAAAAAAATTTGGTTAACGAATTCCTTACGAATTTTTCCCAACATGTTTTCGCCTGCTTTCACCTGCTCACCAGCTGTAGTATTAGTCCGCCAATACAGTAATCGGTTTTAGGGCTTAAATTCGTTACCATTTGAGTAAATATCAAGAAGGTTGTCCTATTCAATAATTTTCCAAGTCTTATATTAAAATTTTTAGTCATTTTAACAATTAATTAACATAATTGAAGTACAGGGAACTAGTTTTTAGCGCGCCAAACAGCCATTTGACTCACCCAGAATGGCGTCAGTTTGTGTCCCTGCTCAGTGGAGGAAGCATCTTGCTTGAAACTCTCTTGAACATAAACTATTTTTACGTTTTAAGAGTGCAATTATTGGTCATTCTGAAGTTTATTTTACATATTGACAATATCTAATGCAGTGCAGTGTTAATTTCAAGAAAATAATCTTGAATTACACCAAGTGAACTAAAATTTTAGGGTGAAATGGCGACATGAAGCATGGGGTGACTTCTCTTCCACCCAAATGCCTTCTCTTCTCCCTTCTCCTCCACCCCCATTCTAATTCCAATCATTATCATCATCAACCAGGAGCCTTCTACATGCACACCTCAAAGTAAGTGTACTTTATGCATTTATTTTTAGTTTATATGTAATTTTCGGTGAGCTGGAACCAATTACCCAAAATCCCATTGAAACAATGGTTTCGGTTAACGAACGACCTTCTGGAACGAATTGTGTTCGTTAACCAAGGGACCACTGTATCAATATACAGAGTTTTAAAGTACAGTCATGCGCCGGTTAACGTCCTAGATACGTTCTTGGAAATATGACGTTAACCAAAATGGACGTTGTCCGATCATCACATAAACTTTGTATTTATACTTACGAGTATGTGGAATACTATATACGTACATATACACTTTTACTCTTAAATCACCACTGTAATGTGATACAGGTGATTAATTTTTATCTCTTGTGCAAAATACATGACGTTTATATTAAAATTATTCACTGTTTTACAAGGATTCCAGCAACGCCGAGCAGATGGGGGAGAGAGAGGGTGGGAGCGAGCGTGGGGGGAGGGGAGGCAATACGTTTGACAGTTGGCACAGGCCCAGGTCTAACGAGTGTATATTTATCAGTTCTTAAGTGACTAAGCTTCTCTCTTATAAAAAGCCAGTGACATGACCTGGGTGAATATAATAAACATTGTTGGGATTCTTGTAACATACTGATTAACTTGAATATA